AGGCTGGCGGTTCAAACCCACCAGCCACTCCTTGGAAGGAAGGTTGGGCATTCCTACTTCCGTAGTGATACTGCCTCGGAAACCCAAGGAGGGGTCGCTAGGAGTCGGGGCCGACTCGATGACAAACAACAACAACAACAGCTCTAGGGAAAGGCTTTCTCTGTGTTGGCTCTGGGGAAAGGTTCTCATCTCCTTTCAACATCTCCTTTCAACCAGTGTTCCTTGGGGATCTCCATGTATCTTGGTATCAATCTTCCCTTGGGTCTAGGAAGTTCTCAGTGCAGGGGCTCTGGATCCAAAGGCTCTTCTTTCTTGATGGTAGTGAGGTCCCTCTCCTCTGATCTCTTGTGAGATAAAAGGTGTGACTCGAGCAAGGGTGAGACTTGAGTAAGGGTGTGACTCAAGTCGCACCTCCTTGTAAGGTCAGGACTCAAGATACACCCCACAGGAGTCCTGCCTCATTAACATACAGAGTATTTACAACACATAAAATGCAGGATAATAACATCAGATCACAAAATGGAGGACAGTACTGGGAATCAGAGCCTAACTAAGTTGACACATATTTTTTGGGGACACAATTCAATCCATGACAATAACCTAGGCTTCTTCTACCGTATTTCTCAAAATTCTTCTAGCCTCTATTTATTTCCCAATTCCAAAGCTACTTCCACACTTGTAGGTATCTGTTACAGTAGCACCTCATGTCCTGGTACTAAAATCTGTATCCACTTCCTGAGGCTGTCATGACAACCAACCACAAGTTGGCTAAAAAACCAGAAAATTATTCTCTTAGTTCTGGAGACAGACTCTCAAAGTCCAAGTGTTGACACGGCAGCATTCCCTCCTCGCCTCTTTCAGCTTCTGGTGGCTGTCGTCATTCCTGGCTGTTTCTGGGCTCATGTCCCCATCGCTCCAATCCCCGCCTGTTTTCAGATGGCCTCCTCAGTGGGTATCTCAAATCTTCCTCTGCTTTTCTCTTACAAGGACACTTGTTATTGGATTTGGGGTCCACCCAGGTAATCCAGGATGACCTCATTTCAAGACCTGAATGATACCTGCAAAGATCTTTCTTCCAAGTGAGGTCACATTCCCAGGTTCTGGGGATTAGGGCACAGACATAGCTTTCTGGGTCACCATCAGACCCTCTACGCTACACTCTCCAAAACGCACCTTGAGTCTGTCCACTTCTGTCTATCCCACTGCCACCACCCTGGTCCACCTTTCCCAGAACGCCTGCTGCAGTCCCAGCTGGCCTCTCCTGCTATTTCTGTACTCTAACAAGCCGTGCTCCACACAGCTGGAGGGATGACGAAAGAATTGTCCATCATGCCCTGCACTTCCTGCTTGAGGCCCTTCCGATGCCCTTCCTCTACAGTCATCTGTGCACAGCTGGCTCCTACTGCTAACCTGTATTTCAGTGCAAGTGTCGTCTCAGCAGAGCGCCCCAAGCTCATGTGCTCACACAGTCCTCCACTCACCAGCCCTGCACACATTGCTAGATCACCAGGTTTTGTCTTATTCTCAGCATTTTATCACTACTTACATTTTTTTGATTACCTACCTACCTATCTACCAGGCCAGCACAGGACCGGGCAGTGTTCCGTTCTGCTATATGTAGGGTCACCATGAGCTGGGGCCGTCTCAATGGCACCCACCACCACCACCACCACCTACCTGTCTATATACCTCTCCCAGATCTGCTGCCCCAACCACATGCCGGGATATGACCAAAGAAAGCAGAATCGTATCATGTGTTGTCCTCCCCACTACGGCCAGGGTTTAAAACTGTGGCGCAAATACATATTCACTGAAGGAACAGGTAACTGAACCTCTCCAAGGACGATGTGCTCTCTTTCTGGAAGGCTCTGTCAGAAGCTGCCCCCGGGGCCCACTCCTCACTGCCAGACGGACCCTCCCCAGGTCACAGGGAAGCCAGCCCTGAATGCCTCCACAGCCACTGTTGTCATTCTTTTCTCAGCCTCCTCCACACACTTCCTGCACCCCGAAACCTGCTGCTGCTGACCTCTCGAATGGCAGGGCCCTGGGACAGCAGCGACTTCTGGTCATTGCAACACAGAGAGGATGTTCAGCAAGTTTGTGAAATTAAAGGGTAGAATTCCTCCTTGTGGTAAAACATGGCAACGTTATTTTAAAGTTACTTGACCCCCCACATCCCCTGGATTCTTTCTAAGGTTGACCTTGCACAAACCTCACTACTGTTTCCTATGCCATTATCTGGGAAAACAAATTGTGGATTCCCCTCCCCCTGATTTTTAAATCTCTGAACAAAACTATAGAAGAAAACAAAACAAAAAAACCCCAAAGATTTTTAGAAATATCATCTTCTACAAATAAATAACTTGCTATATTTTCTATTATGGTTCAACTATACCTCGTTGAAAGATGAAAGGTTAAGTTTTTTGGCGATGAACTTCTTTAGGTGCAAGACCGTGGCCTGGGCCGAACAGCGGATCCACTTCCGCTTTAACCCCCGGAGTTTGCTGCTGTTGCATTCCAGACAGATGCTTACCTTTAAGAGAAGACAGACACACAGACAGACATGCAGACAGGGCACGTTACAAGGGAGTCCACGGGCTTTTCTTCAAGTACTCTCTTACCCAGCTAATCGTGCAATTACGTGTAAGGACGTTGGCGTCTCGTGAAATCAGAACACTGCTTTGACCTAAAACTAGAAAAACAACTTCACCTCAATCATTCTACACACGGTATCTGGAAATGTGCATGCTTGCCTGCGATGACGAGGGAACTGAGGCATGGAGGTCAGTCAGTTGCCAAGGTCAGGAACTGGTTAATGGTGGAGACGGGATGCAAACAGGCAGTGTGCCTTGCGAACCGTGTGCTTAATCGGCATATTAACTGCCAATCCCCCCAAAAGAAAAAGGCCGCTTTCCAACAGTCATGGAGAGCGTGGACACAGCGGACGACGGGAACACCTCAACTCCCCGGAGAGACAAGGTTCAGTGACCCCTAAGGAAGGAGGATGAAAACGAGGCGGGAAACTGCTGCAGCCCCAGGGGCAGTGTCTCCTTCACTCGGTTACCTGAGAGCCCTCTCCTCAGACCCTCCTGGGATCCACGGCCTGTTCAGAGTGAGTGCCCATGGGGAACGGCCATCACAGTCAAGAAGGGCAGCCGCAGAGCACTCAGGACAAACCGCCTCCCGTGTGTCAACACAGTAACAGTGAAAGGCGAACCCACAGTGAGTAATGGTTTCAACTCAAGAAGCCACGGACAGGGTGAAAATACATGCTTACATCTGGTCAAATTCAAACAAAAAGCAGTTCTTTTCAAAGTAACCAGCATGTTTAGGATAAAAAAGGAAAAGGCCACACAGCAGTAATAACCAGGGGGATCAGAAACTACCGACTCTGGGCAGATTTAAACCAGAGCACAAGACTAACCCTAACCTTAGCCTACACACAAAAATGTGCTCCCAAAGGACAAACCACCAGGCTCCGGTCACCGGGAGAGGCCCTGGGGGCCGCGGAGAGCTTTGGGTCTGGGACCCCAGCCGTGCACTGCCAGGTGGCCCCTCTGAGGCGAGGACTGTTCTAGGTCAGCGTACATTCACAAAAGCTGACCCAGAAAGGCAGAGACGTGACTAGACGAGACCCATGCGGCGTTCGAAGCCCGTCACAGGATGGGCTCAGGGGAGCGCTCTAATAACTGCCAACAGACCACACCCTGGCTGCTTAAACAGAATCAGAGCCTGGAAAAGGCAGAAGGACAACAGGCAGCGAAAAAAACAAACCAACTCCTGAGATCCCTTCTCCCCTAAAGCCTCTGTTGAACTGTCCTCTTCCACACTGATCTGAAGTGCTGACTCGACCCCACCCTCAGTTCCCACGTCTCTTTCTGCCGCACGCTGATCACACCTCAATAAGCAACCAGAAATTCTAACGGTTTCCAGCTCCTGCTTAAGTTTCACGTGATGGTGCCATCTGAGAACAGTGGCATTTTGGTCTCTTTCTCTCGCTCACACCCACCCACACACTGCTGCCTCTTCTGTCCCTATCCCACGGGCCAGCAGTGCCACACCTCTGGCATAACCGTGGATAACGGGAGTCCTTGTCTGACAGGAATAAGACAAGGACTCCGCTTCACAGGACGTACGACGGTGATGTCACACTGAGACTGCTGACTGAGTCTGCACAGAAACGGGAGTCCTTGTCTGATGCGAGTAAGACAAGGACTCCGTTTCACGGGACGTATGACAGTGATGTCACACTGAGACTGCTGAGTCTCCACAGAAACGGACGGCCTTTCACCAGACTCTTGCATAGCATCTCCGACCGGCTGGGGGTCCTGAGGTCCTGCACACGAGTGAGTGCTCAGCGGCCAACCTCCAGGCTGACGGCGTGAATCCACCTGGGGGTGTCTCAGGAAAGGCCGGTGACCTACGTCTGACGGTTCTACCCTGACCCACCTGGGGCTCGCCTGGGTCCAGTGGACTGACAGCAGCTGGTGTGACGATGGTTTACTTTGTCGTTTTCAATCCCACAACGTAGGAAACAACACACGAGTAGACTCCTCGATGTTACATTTGTACTTTTCTTTTAATATGTTCTGGTAGCACAGTGCCTAAGGCATCTGACTGCTAACCAGAAGGTTGGTGGTTCAAACCCACCAGACATTCCGTGGAAGCAAGACTGGGTGATCTGCTTCCATAAAGGTTTATCACCTTGGAAACCCAATGGGGGTCACTATGAGTCAGAATCGACTCCATGGCAGTGGGTTTAATATGCTGCCCGATTCCACGTTCTCTTACGTGACAGCAGTATGTGCACTGAAAGACTCTAGCAGAAAGGGCCCTGGATCACTCCCAGGGACACCAGGGAGTCAGACCACTGGGAGGGGCACCACCAGGGAGCAAGACCACCTGGGAGCAGGGCCACTGGGAGCAGGGCCACCTGGGAGCAGGGTCACCGGGGAGTGGGACCACGGAGGAACAGGACTGAAGAGACCAAGGCATGTTGAGGGTGGCATGCTAAGTTATTCATATTTAAATGTTCTGGAGTGATCACAGCTACCTCAG